ACATCTTTAAGCTGAAAAATGCCATATTCACAAATAAGATATCGTGTACAAATAGCATCTATTGTGGCCATTATCCATAGTAATAATAATTGTTAGGTATATTAGTTATTACTCAGATTCAGTGGCGCACATAGAACGGAGGTTATTTAGTCAGAACTCTCTCCAAAATGTTTTCATTCACTATATATTTTTAAATCAAGCTTTACATTTAAATTCGTATAGAATTTATTATTATTCTTTTGAAAATATTTTCGTTACGGCTTTTTATTTTCATTAAATTCGGGATTTTTAATAATTTTTTTAAAGTTCAGAGAAAAAATTGTACAGTCAATTATCCATAATGATTATAATAATAGTAAATTATCAAATATAATTACAGCCTGCTGCATGATTATAGGGTAGGTAATCAGAACAGTAGCACATGAATATGCGTAACTAGAGTTGTACTAGGTGGTCTTTAGCACCCCCTAAGTTTAAAATTAGCATCTCAAAAAATAATTTTTTTCTTATTATGTTCACTAAATATTTTATCTATGTATTTCATAACTAATAAGCAGAACAACTACAGATTAACTATACAAATAAACAAAAATACCAAATAAAGTTAAAAAAGTTATAATATATTTATAAAAAAAAAATGCAAATAAAATGTATAGTTGCTAACAAGAAGTGTCATGTAAATGGCATTGTGGGGTTATTGTCCCACGGGGCTGTATTGTCTTTATAATTTTAGTCCTCCCCTGGAGGACCTCTTTGGTGCTCTAGTTGTGCACATGAGTGCATGCAAGTTTTTTTTCAGGGAGGAGAATTGTGCTTATTATAATTTCCTATAGAGGGGATATCATATGTTACTATAACTATTATTAATGAACAAATGATTTTTGATTACATTTTTTTTTTTTTTTTGTGGTACACTCCAATAAGATATTATGCTGCAGAATTCAAAGGAGGTAGTGGTTTTACTCTAAAAACTAAAGGTGACAAAAAATAATATAAATGTAAATAATTGTAAAACTCCTTGTTTTTTAAATGTTGTACAAAACAAATTCGGAAAAAAGTAAAAACTTTTCGAGATAATCAGTGTCTTACGATAGATTGATCACTCTGTATACCTTAAAGGTTTTAATTATTTAAAACATGGTTTTATTACAACGTCATAATTTCCGTATTAAACGTTTTAAATATGTTTAAAACATATTATACGACTTAAAAAAAATGTCTTGATTTTTAATTAAACAGTTTATGTAACAGTATTACTTTATACTTACTAGTTTAAGAGTTTAGACGTTTTAGTATTAGTCAATAGTAAGCTAATTCCCACCTGAAATTTCATTCCGCCCCCTTCTAACAAATATGACTTTCAACAAAATGTATTTATTAAATTTATAAATTACAATTCTTGTTCCGATTATCGTACCTAATGGTTTCCAATAAAATATAATTATACATTTTAATTATATAACTATTATTATTATATTTTCATCAAACATATAGTTATTTTGTTTTCAATACAAGAAGTTAATATAGAAGTTTATTATACACATTATACAGTTCATTTGTTATATTTTGTTATTTTACTTTCTTTTATTACCATAAATATACACTTGTATTTTTTTTATCATCTCATAAATAATAAACATTGAGTTCTAGTACTAAATTAAAAAGTGTTTTTATTGTTTGAAACATACTTATAAAAAAAAAACATTGTTTTTTACTTTGTGTTTAAACGTCCAATTAAAACTAGAGGTTTTAAACATAACTACCCTGTTTTCCCTAACACACCCCGTGCGCACGCCTATGGGTCAGTGGCGTAACACGAAAATTTGGGCCCCTCACTGCAAATATAAAAAAATCGGCCACATTGTAGACTGTTGAGTAATGAATCGCTTTGTCAATAATCATTATTATGAGTTTTTCCACGCGATAAGATTATTATTGACTATATTAAAGCGAACCATACACGTTGTACAAGAATACCATACACGTTAATCGTAATGATTATCGAATCGTTTTTCAGATCGTATCAAACAAAGTTGTACAATGTGTGGTACGATTAATCATACTGTGTATAAGACATAATTGATAAGAAACGCATAAAAAATATTCACTGTACGACGCGCGACGTATACATAACAATTATCATAGACAAAGATAGAAACTAATTAAATTAAAAAAAAAATTAATTCTTCAACATTTTTTTTTTACTTTATGGCGTCAAATTATCCAAGTCCCCCTACACGACGCGTGGTACGCGGTCTCTCGGCTACGCCACTGCACTGTTATGGTTGTAGGTACAGAAAATGTAAATTATTATATTACAACAAGTCTTATTTGAAAATGTACAGTATGGATGTTTACATTTGAAAGGTAAAAACTAATATTTTTAGTCGCAGAAAGCGTTTCATTAAGGCAAGAAATAATAATTATTGCTCAATTATCGATGAGGTTTCTAATACAGGTAAAACATAATATATTGATAATAAACATTTTTATATGTGCGGCAGTACAATTATAAAAAGTTAAGATAATGGGGACGGGTGCAGCCACTGATGCGTGTGGGCAATTGAGAAGGTAGGATATAGACGGGAATTCAATGCATATCTGTAAGCGACGATATACCAATGCTTACGAAAAAACGATTCTAAATGGAGTTCAGTTGATAATTATGCTTTGTCCACAATATATATATGTAATTTTATAGTAAAATAATTAAATAGGCTTAATATATATTTTTTTTTTAATAAAATTTGATTAATGTTGTATCGATTTTCCCAATTTCCTTATGTTTTTCCCAGTTTTCCTATGTTTTATCCCGGTTTTTCACATTTCCTGGGAAAACTCTTGGAGAAATTAAAAAAATTACCTCTCTAAAGTACCTCCCTAGTGAAATTTAATGTTAGAAAAAATTTTATTTTTAAAAGCTAGATGGAATAGTTGTTCACAGAGAATAAAAAGACTGTAATATATTTTAACTATAAGTCCTACATTTCTAATATTTTCCTTTTTTTTTTCTGTTTGTCAAATTTCATGAGGAAACTCCGGATAAAATCAAAAAATGACCTTTTTATAGTATCTCCCTACGCCGATTTTCTTTTAGAAAAGATGCTACACGTAGAAAACCAAGCAAGTCTTCTGATAGAAAAGTTACGCAAAGATAAAAAAAAAAAAAATGAACATCTTTGTAAAATACGTTTCTTCGCTTCACTCGGAATTTAAAATAAGCATCAAAATACTACAAAATGGACATTTTCATAAATATACATGATTTTAATTCGTTTTTATGATGATTTTAAAAATACCGCCTCTTTGATAAGTGTTCATGCCACTGTAGGTTTACGCCTACGCCTTAGGCCAGACCTGAACACAAGAACAACGACTATAGATACGTATTATACATTATGTGAGTTCTAAAATATTAAATTCTAATGAAGTATTTTGTATTTAAGATTCTGAGTGGAGTGAAGAAGCTTATTGTTTTGAGATGTTTATTTTCTTTTTCCTGTGGACAACTTTTCTACCAGATAATCTGCTCCGATTTTTAAGTGTAGCACCTTTTCTGAAAGGAAATTGGTGTGGGGAGGTACTTTAAGAGGGTCATTTTTCAATTTTCTCAGCAAATGTTAAAAACCAGGAAGAAACGTGGGAAAACAGGGAAAAACGTAGGAATAACGGGAAAATCGGATCGATAATAAACAAATATTATTAAAAACATATTTATACCACGACTATTTAATTATTTTACCATAATATGAGATATTATATATTGTTGACAGAGAATCACTATCAACTGAACTCCGATAAGAATTGTGTTTTCGTTAGCAATGGTTGATCGTGGTTTACAGGTATAGGTATATATTCAATTACCTAACAGTGGCCGCACCCGTTCCCATTATTCTAGGACAGGCATTTTTTATTGCAGTTAACACCTTGTATGGAAGTTCCAGTAATATCAATAGGATTCTCATATCCAAATATCCATACCCATATCAAAATGGGATAGTCGGTAGTGTTGAAGGTTAACTGACGTTGCCTTTTTTTTTTATTGATATGTTTGGTAAGAATATTCAATATATACCCATTGTAAACGCTGTAGTCTTTAAATGTGTGTATACCTTAATAAATATATTTTACAAAACGATATACTATGTATTTTTATTTACAAATTTATTGTTTGAATGAGTACGTATAGGTACCTAGAATTGTATCATTATCTACCTGGAAATTTGTTTGTTGTCTTTTAATGTCAATAACTAGTTTTATTCAGATTTCACGCCCTTTTTTTCCTCCCCCATCTCGCCACTGAACTATGAACGTCTATAAAAAATAAAACAATCTATACTGATATTTATTATTGATAATGATCATTATAATGATTATTCGATATGTTGTTTCGACAATTAAATGCGAACAAATGCAATCCACCAAAGACTATGGAAATAATAATGCATCTTATTAGCTCTAAAATGTATTAAAACGGATGATTTTTACAATACAATCATTTTGTCTGTTTTATGTTCTTACCTGCAGTTGTCTTATACTGTCTTGTAATTGTGGTGTATTGGTTTTGGTGGACAACCGTCCAACCATACTCGACAGAAAACCCAGCGTCCACGAACAACAAGTCAACGAAGGACAAAGGGCAGTACGCTTTAGTGAGCAATAGGTATCATAATATTATTATTATATTATATCACTATGATATTTTTTTTTTTAAATAATTTTTACTTTTTCTTTATTGTTTGTCATCGTTGCTGGTGTACAGGTAGATAACACAACCGACATCTTAAATCATACGGTGATTGTTTAGACAACACATTCGACTCGGCCATTATCCTTAAATACGTAAGTACGTAATTTAAATCGAATCGTATCTTGTACCGCAGTGGCGTACTCGAGGGGGTTGATGTGGATGATACATCGCCCCCCCCTCCACAAACAAGTCTAGAACCAATTTATTTTTCTCTCTTTTGCAGTAACTTGTTACAAAAAACACAAAATGACAGATATTAAAATATAGTATATATTAATACAGTGGAAACCTCTAAATACTGGATACTCTCGGTCACTGAAATTTATTTTAACTATTCTGAAATACACCGCTGTTCTGTGTCTGTTATTTTGTGGCCTGTATCTATATTTAGAAGCTTTCATAGGGGTAAGTAGTGAAAATATCGCCGTTCCCAAAAAAACCGTCCGCTATTTAGAGGTGTCCGTTAAGAGATCTAATTGTTGGTTGAGGTAATTAATAAAGTTTTAATACGATTTTGTGCTTAGTACATATTATGATTTTATCTTGATATTTTTTTTTATCGCCGGGGGAGGGCAAAAAAAAAAAAGTCCTAGTTACGGCACTGTTGTACCGGCATACAAATACAAAATGTATCCGGTATCTTGTACTGCGACGGTGAAACATACCTACGTAACATCCGGAAACTCGTTTTAAAGCCATATACCCGACAACAGGCGCCCGGCGGCGGGGCAAGCCTGATCAGCCGTCTGGCCGTACTTTCTTAAGATGGAGAACTCAAATCAATATTTCGTGTATCGCGTGCCTAGTACGCGGATCTTTAACATAGAGAACGTAAGTATCGCCAGCGGGCTGTAGCGCGACGGACACGGGTGCAAACGGTCCGGACGCGCAACACGTACGGAGTGGCGACTGACAAAGCTAGGGGGACAATTACGGAGCGGCGGCCGGAAGGTAGGTGACCTCGGGCGAGACTGAAGGAACGTTTGGACGGACGGCGTGCGACTGCAAGACCCGGGGAGACCGGAAATCGCGAACCGGGAGGAAACTCGGCCCGGGACCGCGGATGTCGGAGTGCATCGACGGCGGCGGCCGCGGAAACTCTCCGACGGTCACGCCGACGGACGGCCAACGGCCGTGTACGGACGCGCGAGTCGTCCGCCCGACGTGTTCGTGACTTCTCGCCCGATCCCGTTTACCGCGCCCACTCCGCTCCCCGTTTAGGAGCACAATCGGCATAGCGGTTCGCGTGTTGTACGCTATGCACCGGAAACGGGTTATGTATGTGTGTGTGTGTGTGTGTGTGTAGTACGTACGCACACGCGAGTAATTATATGGTAATAATCGTGATTATATTTTATCGTTTTGGTACATCGATTGTTTTTAGGCGCTTACGGTTAATCGAGACGAACATTTTAGCGTATCGAAAGATATCGGAACGGATTCCGCGCGATCGGGGATTACGTATGTATATAATAATAATAATAATAATAATAATAATAATAATAATAATAATAATAATAATAATATAAATGCGCCGGAAAACGGTAATAAATCATAATTGGTTTTATGCGAATAAATATTGTCGCGTTGATAGCGTTATATTGACGGTAATAATAATGTGTAGATACGGACAAATAAGTGCGAGTAAACGAATAAATAAATTAAATAAATATATAAGTGAATAGATAAAATTTGAAAAAGCTGGTCCCCCGAAGGAAGAACGCGTGTTTCGAACAACGCATTGTCACCGGCGGGCGGCGATCGGAAATCTGACGCGGGCCGCGGCACTAGGCGCACGAGTCTTCCTCGTCGTCGTCGTCATCGTCGTCTTCATCTTCGCTGGTCTCGTCGCACTCGTCCTCGTTCTCCGAAGATTCCTCTTCGGCCTGCGCCTCCTCCTCCTCCTCCACGCCTTCGTCGTCGTCGTCGTCGTCGTCCACTTCCCCCTCGCCCTCGTGCTCCTCCTCTTCCTCGTCGTCCCCATCGTTCGCGCCCTCCTCGCGCACCCTCTCGTCCTGCGGCTCGACTGGCCGCCGATCATTGGCCGGCAACGGCGACAACGAGAACAACGACCGCGGCTGACTGCGGTCCTCGTCGCCGGGCGCCTCGCTACCGCCGGCCGTCACGCCGGTTTTCTCGGCCTCGGCCATCTGCATCAGCGAAAAGGCCCGCGGGATCGCCTCCGTCATGTCCGCCATCTGCGGATACGGCGGACGCGTCGGGGACGGCCGTGATTGTTCGGCGGACGTCAACGTAATCGGCACCATGCTATATAATATCTCCTGAAAAAACAGAACGCAGAAAGCTGTCACTGACACTGATTGTGTTTGCACCGCGATCGCGTAATTCATTGTAAATGGGTAATTGTGACGTTTGACGGGCTGTGAATTTGTGCGAAAACGCCTAGTAATTACTGTCGTCATTACGTGTATCCACTATTCCACGGCGTAGCGGACGCCCGCACAGCTTTTTGATAAACGGTACAACGAGAATGATATTGGAGAACGGGTAAATACGAGCGGAGAAACCAAATCAAAGGGCCCGGTGCCAGTTTTTTCGAATTTTCTCAAGCATTGAACTCCGATTTTTTTTAATTCGGATTTCAAATAGTGTAGGGAAAAAAAATGGCAAAAAAAACATAAAATTTACTTTTTTTTTAAAGACTCGTTATACATTTTGAGAATGAAATATTGAGACACCGAGTTCAACGCGATCTGTATAATGTTTCCCTCTGATATTTAAAACAGAAAATATTTAATTCGGTTGATTCTACTGAACAGTATTTCCGTAGAGTGTTTTTTTTTTTTTTTTTTTTGTGGGCGAAACGACATTGACGCCGGACGCCTAAGGAAAAAAAAGGCGCCCGGTTATATCCGACCGTTTTATTTGCCACACCAAAAATATTGTTCGAAATTCCACGAATAGCGGCTTGTCGGCGAGAAAATGTTGTGTGGTTCGCGATTGAGAAATCCGCGTTTTTTTTTTTTTTATATCCGGGCAGTTTTCTCAATTATCGGCCGAAACCGGGGGGGGGGATGATCGGGAAAGCTTTTTTATATTTTTGGTTTTTGTTTTTTCTCGTTGTTCGGTTAAAAAAAAAATGTGTAAAAAACTTTAAACATATGTTTAACGTTGCTGCAGGTTGAAAAAATTGTACGCTTTAAAGATGCATTAAATTCACAACCCTGTGTAATATTCTGCGGATACAGAGTAATGCATAGGTAAGTTTTTCACCGGTTCGTCTATGCTCGTATATTTTTCTCCGGAAGTAGACAAATTGCAGTCTGCTGAAACGATTTATCAATATTATTTACATGCGTTTGACAAAATAAATGAACGCCGCGCTGCCGCGAATCGCGCAATCGGTTTACCGCATATTTTCACCGGCGGTGTTGAAGCATTCGAATTTCGAATACTCGTATTGAAAATAATAAATCATTTTTTTTTTTTTTTTTTTTTTATAAATTTAAATACTTCAGAAATATTTATGCAGTATTTTGAATACTTTAAAAATAATATGTTTGTAATACGTAATATTTTATTCCAGTGTTCGTGTCACCGTTATTATATTAACAAGATTCTCGTGTTTTACAATTTTCAATTTTGACGAAAATAAATAAATTTCTAAAAAAAATTTACTTTATGACAGTTCTAAGAATTTATAATGAGTTTCCTTCTAAAATGTACATTTTTATAACGCATTATAAAAATATGCAATCTAGCTATCCCATACATTCCCAACAAACTTGATTAACTTAACTTAACTTAATTTCAACAAACTCATTTACTCTTCTCCATAGCCAATTATTTGGGGTCGTCCGGCCTCGTTCTAAACTTGCACTTGATCCGATCTCCCGTCTCGCATCACCGACTGTCCTCGTATCATTCTCAATCGCATCCAATCATCTCTTTTTCGGTCTTCCTAGGTATTTTAAGCAAGTATGTTATAGTATTATAGGTACCTATGAGGACCTAGGTATACCTGCAAGTGTGTTTTATTGCGTAGCTTCGTATCAAGTACCTAGTCGTTAAATTTGTACGGTGGGCTGTGGTCTTTTCTCCTTCGTCTCAATTCCAACTATTCGGGGTCGTCCGCCCTCGATCCAAACTTGCACTTTATCCGATCTCCGTCTCGCATACGCCGACTTTCCTCGTACCATTCTCAATCGTATCCAATCGTCTCTTTTTCGGTCTCTCTGTCCACCTGTTTCCGCTCACGTCTATACCACGTCCATTACGATTTTTACCGCTATAGATTCCTCTCGGAAACCGTCTCGGTCTACTTTCTCTAATCTCGTCTACTATCGCGAAGCCATGCCCAGACTTCTTCTTATGCAATCATTCCTCGTCCACCTAAGTATTCTCATTTCTGCTACGGTCGTTCTCTGTTCTATTTTTCTGTCTACTGCACAACACTCCGAACCATACGCGGCATATTCAAACTCACCACAATTTTGTAGAACTCAACTATAAGTCTTATTAGAATTCTCCTGTCATATAAAACATCTGTCACTTCTCTCCACTTTATCGTGTGTTTCACTTACTCATAAAAACCACCGTTCTTTTGTAAAAAATTCCCTGGGTACTTAAAACTTTCAGTCTCGTTTATAACCACTTATATTCTGTTTTACTTCTACTTATCCCCCTTAGTCTTTTTAGTTCTTTTAAGTCTTTTTAATAATAATAAATAAGTGCTATACTCCAATCATCCATTCTTCGGGCCTATTGTTAACTTATATCAATTTTTTTCCTATCAAAGCTGCATCGTCTACAAACATCATGAACCTCTCTCACCAATTGCTCTCGTGTACATTTGAGATTGGACAGTCCACCAAAGTCTTGATTGGACCTCCTCATACTGTTTGACATAATTTTACACCAGCTGTCGCAACTCCGTTTGTCGGCTCTTACGGCGAATACCACGGGAGTTTTCTGATCCCCTCCTACAAGGAGATAATAAACTCATTTACTAATGTTCTTAAACAGGTATTACATATGCTACTGAGCATCATCTAAAACCCGTATACCCTTAGATCGTATACTATGGATAGCTACGGCTATACCTCGTGTGAAACGAGTATGCTACCAACGTTATAAACCTATACTGGATGTCCGGATGTATATTTTACACAGAGTTATGCGTATATTACAACTCATATTTCATTTTATAGGTTGTGATAAGACTGATAACAGTACGTCGCCCATGCGCTAAAGTGAGATGCTCTCCTGATATGTTGGCGACACGTTTTATTGCTTATAGCTCTATCCATTGTACACGATCTAAGTTAAACCTATTTAAATTAAATATCCATAAAATCATTGTTTATTCGTAACTTATTGAAGTTGAAAATCTGTCAAAGTATGCAAAACAGGGACGGCCAAAGGTCAATTGACCTATTGATTCGTAGACGATTTTAATACATCGATCTTTATAGTTTTATAACTTGCACGTATATAATTATTTTTAATACCTAATTGTAATATAATAATATAATTAGGTAATTAATAATTATTCGTTTTTTTTTTCCGTATGGGTTCTCCTTCAAAAATATACTCTTAATAGTACTCCACTAAAAAAAGTTTGGTCGCACACTGACGTCAGATTTATTGAAAAAAAAAACATTTGTAAATTAGGCAGATATTTTGAATAATATGTTTAACAAATATTTATATATTTATACTCGAATACGTTTAAAAGAAAATATTCAGCGGCGCATTTCGAATAAGATTATTATTAAAATATTATTATTATTATTATTAAAAAATATTCAAAAACGTATTCTCAACACATATTTGAAAAGAGTTTTTGACTGATTTTTATCATTTATCGCATATAGTCGGGTCTCCTATTGTTCATTTAACAGTTAAGATTTTGTTGAAATTGATTCGACAAATTTCGGGTTACCGCCGCCAGGCGAAAAAATTCCAAAAATATCTCTAAGAGTTCAAAACCCGTAGGTACAGACGTCTCCGAAAAAACGTTTTAAAATATTATGCAAAATGTAGTTTTTGATATTCGGCTTTTTGCTTATGCCTACTCAACAACAAATAGGTACACAATGAAATGCGACCCGATAAAAGCTCTTCATTTTGCTCCATCAAAAGGCGGTTCGCAATCGTCGAGCTGAATTTCACGCGTTTGTGTGTTTCCTGGTTTGTTTTCCACTGGCGCCCATACGGTCATTTAGAAACTATATAATATTATGGGTAAAAAAAGCAATGTCTATAAATTTGATTCTTATTACGGTGTAAAGGATCGAATTATGTTTAGTTTTTTTTTTTAGAAATATCCCGTACGATTGTATACAATGTTGCGATGACAATAGGCGATCGATGTCCATCCATTTTTACAAAAAAAAAAACTCTTCGATAAACTAAAATCTAATCCGGTAATTCGTAAATACGAATAAATCTAATTCGAGGATTTTTCACATGCGTTTATGTTTAAATTTCTGTTCCGTTAAAATTCAAACGGAAATTTTCAGAAATCTGTTCATATAAATATCATTATTTTCTAATGTTGTTAAAATTTCGCATTATTCCTTCATTAAGAAATTGCAATACTTATGCGATTTTATACGTATACGAAGCAAGCAAGCGCCTTCGTCAGGATTTGTTATAGTTTTTAGTTTAAAAAATTAAGTAAAAAATATTCATTTTCGTTTTCAGACGAAATATTCACTACGCAGAACTGCGTACTTGATGATCGGATTTTTTTTTTTAAGCAGTTTTTCGTTGTTTTTTTTCCACACTATTATTATTATTATTATTTTTACCGTTTACGCGAATGCATTTTGTTCAATAAACAAAATATTCGTCGGCCTTTCTCACAATAGCCGACGACAACCTATATACTCCAGACTATGTTTTTTTCTTCGGGTTGTAGATTTGTCTACACTCTTATTGCTCTTATAGGGCTCGGAAGTTATAGGAGTCGCATATTCGTCTTTGTGTACTGGATTTGTAGGGGACCAATCTAGACATTATTTCTACACAATGTCGGAGAGTTTGAAAATCGGAAATTTAAAACGTTTTGCAAATTTCAACGACTCTCGTTGATTTTCGCATATTTATACGCACACTACGCATGTTTGATATTTTCTAAAAAAAAATTGATTTTTTTTTTTCTTTCTCTTTCAACTCATGTATTTTAAAGAATATCGAATATAAAACTCGATATTATTTAACGTGGTTATATTTTATTGTTTTTTTTTTTTTATCGTCTCGGTCTGTTATTAATTTAACGACAATGGCGCGATTCGCATTTATCTTTTTAGCCCATAATATTAATAAAAACTTTGTTTACTGAACAATTGTTTGCGTATTTGTTAAATTTTTTTTACGTATTTTACATTTTTTCGAGCGCGTATTTTACAATTTTTCCGTGCGTATTTTGCCTATGTCTTTAGCTCTTATAACTTCCGAGCCCTCGTGCAGTTATTACACACCCTTTTCGCAACATTTATTATTTTTTCACGGGACGTAACGGATTGACGAGCATTTTTTTGAAATCGTTTGTATTTTACAACAGCCGGTTCAACAACCAATTAATACTTATTACTTATACTCAATAAAAATTTTTGAATTTCCATCTGTGGCACCAGACATCGAGCGCGAAAACGCGAAAAACGAATCGTCGTGTGAAATTGGATTTCGCATTTTCCGCACACCGCAACTTTCCAAAAACCTATTCGACGACTTTCATGGATATCCCGAAGCCTAACCCGTAATCGTTCCGGTCAAAGTAAAAACTCCCGTACACGTGAATCCAGTCGTTAAGCCGTTTCTCTAGCATGCCGCTAATGCCGTCCGTCCCGACGGTCGTCAGCAATACGGACTTGTCGGTCAGACTCCTGAGTGACAGCCGAACGACGGGCATTGCCCGGAACGGGCCTTGTCTCTTAAACGTGATGCCTGTTTGCAGCACGTCGTTGTGATGATAGTAATACGCCAGCTTGACGGCCTTCGTCAGCGGTTTGAACTGGCCGGACACCTGGTGCTTGTCTGTGACGTAATGGGCCAACAGTGCCGGCCTGAACATCGATTTCGTCACCAGCGTTTGAGACGAGGCGGAGTCGCCGCTTTCTAGCTGGGCCAATGGGTCCGCGACGTCGAGTATCGGGTATCGATGTTTCAACCCCAACTTGACACCGGCCGACAGATCGCAGGTGATGGTCTGTAAACGCGTGCAGAGTTAAGGCTAAGCGATTTTGTAATTGTGTACAAAATCAAAATTTCGGTCGACTGACACACGTCTGATTCGCCGATAGAAATCGAAATCTAAAAATAATTTTTTTTTTTTTCCATTTCCCATTCGCTTTTATCCCATATACACGGTCAGTTATTATTTTCCCTCCTCCATTCTCTCACTCACCGCATAAATACGATCGCGTACGTGTTCGTCGCCCTTCCGCAAGTACTCTAGCTACTTTAAAAAACAAATAAAAATAGCGTCTCTGGCATTTTAATATCCCTCACATTACCAAGAGGTAGCCCCACACCGCCTATCACGGACCTCCAAAAAGCGTCAGTATAAAACCATAAAACGCGTATCATTCAGAACAGAATAATATAATAATTTGTTTACGGATAACTTGTCTTTTTTAAAAACCGATATTGAATTGCGAGGAGTGTTCGAAAGTTCCAGGACGGTTCGAATTGCGCGCCAACGGAGCATCCTGCAACAGCGATAGGATTAATATCACTGGGTTCTGTGATTTTTCCTGAGCACATCTGTTTTTTGGGGATTGTCTATAACCACCTTCTTTGTTTTGATCTCATCGATATTTTTGTAAAATATTTTTTTTTGCATTAGACGGTTTTGTAATTAATTCAAAAGAAGAATTTTCTTTAAGGGGGAAGGGGAGGAGGATGTTTTCTTTCGTTTTTTTTAAAAAATTCTCGTTTGGTAGATGAATACGACGAGTCACGTGACTTTTTCCAACAATTTGCAACTGAAAAACTGCAGAGGCCCAGTGAAAGTTTTCCTCGAGAATGTGAAGGAAGGTCCAAGTTCAGGTTTATCACATGGTAAATGTTGTAAACTTTTTGACAATTTACCATAATAATAATCATTATCTGTATTATTATGTTATCATCAAAATGAAAGAAAAATCTTCTCCAACCAACTCCATCCCGAAAAAAGGCCCTTCTTTTAGATTTATTACAAAACCACATTTATTTACAATTATTTATTACAATTATTAACGATTTATTACAATAGAGTACGTACAAATACAGATATACTCCAAAGAAGTCACAGAACACTGCAGAGTTATCAATCTTACTCCTACTCCTATTCCTAACCGCTCCGTCGGCGCGCAATTCAAACAGTCTTGGAACTTTTTGAACACACACCTCGTTTACGTGACAATATTAAAAACACATTTTTTTTCTATAAATTATTAATTTGTTCATATTCAAATTAATCGTAGAATATTATATTATACTTGCGAACAGATATACAGATAATTCAAATGCGTGCGTACCCGTGTTAGCATAGTACTCATTCGGCTATAAATCTATTTCACCCTCGACACGTTATTACGATATCACTTGTTGCTGCGTGTTAGTGTGCGTATACCGTGGCCGGCGCGTCCGAGTTGAGTCTTACGGTAAAAAATCCATAGTATAGTCAGGTCCCGGGCAGTGTTGTGAAGCATTTGAGTATTGGTATTTAAATACGTTTCCCTTTTCCAAGTATTAAATACGTGTTTGAAATACTATTTATTTATAAAGTATTGAAGTATATTTTAAATACTTTTTACAGTATTAAATACTGGAGTATCAAATACTTTTCAATTTGAATTATTTGAGAATTGTCGTTAAAATATACGATAACGACCAAAATCGTAATATAAGTAAGTACTAGGTACCCTATCGACAATTCACGATACCGTTAAATTAACCCAATACAAAAAAATCAAAAATTTTTATTGGAAGTCAAATATAGTAAGCATTAACATTTATATTATTTTATCTGGCTTACTCAGAAGAACATTTTTAATGTTAATTAAACCTCTGGTTAATCAGTTACCGTGTTAACCTAACAGTGGATGTGTTTTGAGTTTTATCCCATTTTCGAATAATTTTTAAATAGTTAAAATTTAGTCCATACAGTCCTAAACAAAGCTCTACTTATATTTAAGATTAAAAAAAAAAAATCTGTATCGCTATTTGGGTAACTAGATTGTTATCATTAATATAGTTAAGTAATTTGAAAAAAAAGTATTTAAAATTGTATTTAAATACATACCAAAAAAAATATTTACAACACTGGTCCCGTGTTTGGGCGGGTAGTTTATACTATTATAGCCGTTTATAATATCATAATATTAATGCTGATAAAATGTAATAGTTTAAAAGTTTAGAAAAATAATAGCCAATGTATCCAACGTAATATCTACCGGTCGATAAAAGTTTTAAAAAGTATCCGAACTTGATGCTTAATGAGAAGTTTGAAAAAAAAAACCGAGCAGAATTGTGTTTTACAATAACAAAAACGTATTATAACGGATAAAATGGCAGAATAGATCCTTAGTCCTGAGTCTGTGAAAATAAGTACCGAACCAGTGTAATAAAAACCGCCGAGGTCCGGGACCCAACTGGGATCCTCAGTCAACGTGGTACGTCAATTCGTGACAAAATTCGTATCTTATTCAGCGCTTGGAAAATTCCGTTTTAATAGTAAAATTGCCGAGCGTTTCTCATATACGCCTAATTGCATAAATAGATAAAAAACCTGGCACGTAGGTGGGCCACTAATGTAGGTGAGAAGTTGGGAAGTTGCTTTGTCAACAAATATTATAGTAAACTAATTACATAGGCATTACATATTTTCTTTAATAAATATTGTATCTGTTTCCTCGTTTTCCCTACGTTTTTCCTGGTTTCCCCTATTTATTAGGATAACTCCGGAAAAAATCGAAAAATAACCTCCTTAAATAGCGCCCCAGTCAGATATTCTTTTAGAAAAAGTGCAATCATTGTAAATCGGAGCGAAATAAACAATAAATGTCATTGTAAAACTAATACATTCCTCGCTTCAGTCAGAATCGAAAAATGTCATTTTTTTTTTTGTTTTGTTTTTTTATCATTGAAATTGGGTCCTTATTTAAAATTTGAAAAAGGCACAATTCATTTTTTTTTTTAGCTTTTTTTCAAGATAAAATAATAAACAATTAACTTCTTTGTAAAACCAATATATTATAGTCATAGAGTTATAGTTATTTTAAACCGGTGTTAACAATGATGTTTATTTTTTTTTTTCTGTAAACTACTTCTACCAGCGATTAAGATTTTCAAGTGTAGCATTTTTTCTGAACGGTTATCTGACGGTTTATCTGACTGGGGTAGTTGAAAGTTTTAGTTTTTCCAGCTGTTTTCATAATAAACGTGAAAAAACGGGAAAATGTACGAAATGTATTCTTTTAAAACCGTAAATATTATAGCATTTTGAACCGTGTATAACCGAACTCCGACCAGTTTTATCGTTTTAGCGACTACGTTATAGGTAGTTTTTTTTTTCGCTCAGTTCCACCGTAAGTCACCCTATGGGAATCTCCTACCGCAAAAAGCAATCGAAGCGCGTCTCAGCGTAATTAAAAAGGTCGAGAACCACTTAGTTATAGAACGTGTTATCGTTTTTACTTGCATGTACTGGACCACGCCGGCGTTCACTCTCTGTCTCAGCGCCACTTCGGGCTTCGGATCCATGCAACTGATCACCATTTTGTGACCCAAGCCCGCGTAAATCGATTTGCCCGCCTGTCTGTAGTTCACTTTGATTCGGGCCGCGGATAGCTGCTTCCACTTGGAGAACTGCGAGAAAAAGGACGCGTCAAGGCAGCCGCCTTCCGCTTGTCCGACGGTCTCCAATATATAATTTCCGTTCACGACGTTCACATCGGCGGCGGTGGACACGGAACACACCTCCGGCAATCGCCCGTCCCAACCGACGGTGACCCACGGACGGTTCGTTTGCCATTTGAACTTGCTGAACGAATTGGCCTGCCACCCGCTTTTTGTAGGCGTCTCGGTCCTGGCCAAAACGTTTACGCGGACGCCCGTGAACGGGTTCACTTCCAAACATTCCGTCATGACGAACAAATCCGTCGGCGGGCTGCTCACCGCCAGCAGCAGCGGCGTCGGTGACGGCAACGACGGCGAAGTGGACGGCAACGGCGGCGACGGTGACGGCAACGACGGCGAAGTGAACGGCAACGGCGGCAACGGTGACGGCAACGACGGCGAAGTGGACGGCAACGGCGGCAACGGTGACGGCAACGACGGCGAAGTGGACGGCAACGGCGGCGACGACGACGGCGATGCCGCGTTCACTTTGGGCAGCAGCAACGTGTTGGTCAGGAGACCCGCTTGCGAGCAAATGCTATTCGTCTGTCCCATGATAATCGCTGCGCGGTCGCAAATGTTAGCGTACGGTGCGTATATTGTACGGAAACGGTATCTGTGATGTATGAACGCCGTGGAAGTCTGAAATCAACAGTCTCGCGTAGCTATAGAAACACTTCCGCGGTGTATGCGTGACGCGTATTCGGTTAATCTCGGGGAGCCGCAGCCGACGGGTCCGGAAGGCGAGAAGGCCCGTTTTTACGCATGCGCGCGTGCCGTTCAACGATTCGGCGGGCGTGAAACACGCGCCGGCGTTTCTTCCGCTCCCGGTGAAAGAACGTTTTCTACGGCACTTCGCGTCGGCCCGTACGAAAACTATGCGAACCCGCCTACATGCCGTCGTTATCGTAGAGGAAAAGGTCAACATATGCTCCTATAGTCGCCTTCAGCGATTGGGTAGCCCGTGATTCGGTGTGCACGAGTCACCTCCCAAAAATGTTCACACTGGTTGTTCTAGCCTCTCACGTGTAATAAAGGAGTGGTTCGTCGACTAAACTCAATTCAATATGATATTTATAAATTTTATCAAAAACCATTTTTAGAAATCCGTCCTCGGATAATGGGGACGGGGGGCAGCCACTGTTATGGGTAATATTTTAATGTATACCTGTTAGCAGCGACAAACCATTGCTAACGAAAAAAAAAAACGATTCTAAACGGAGATCAGCTGATAATGGTGCTTTGTCGACAATATATTATAATATGTCATATTATGACGGTAAAATAATAATTAGATAGGCGTTATATGTTTTCATCAATAATATTTGTTTAATGTACCGATTTTCCCGTTTTTCTCGATTTTCCCATATGTTTCCCCCCCCCCCCGGTTGTTCACATTTTCTGTGAAAACTCTTGGGAAAATGGAAAATGACCTCGAACCAATATTCGAGATGACTAAGAAAAACTGATTCTTTAGGGTAAAAGAAGATTAAAAGATTAAAAATAAGGTTGGAACATTGGCAACCGTTTTTATTTATTTTTTTTTTTTGTTTCAATATTTTTATATTTTTTAAACAATCGTTGTTGTCGTGAAAACGCACATTGTTGAAAAAACAATATTATTGACCGAGCTCCGTTCGAAATAGTTTTTCGTTAACAATGATTAATCGTAAACAATTTAATTTCCCTTTATCAACTACCTTCCCAACTCCGTGCCTACAGGGCTATAACAGTGACCCACCCGTGGTGCGAAATACGTCCGTCCGTTTTTTCGTTTTTATTTTTATGTCATTATTGTTAACATTTAGACTTTTTTAACGAGTTGTACAAGTATATTATATACTTCGTCTGTCAACCTATGTACATATATGCACATATATTTGTAATGCATGGTATCAGCCTCCAACCTTCAACTCCGCGGAAATACGTCCTTTGAGGAAAGAAAAGTTTAATTTGTACCGGGCTCGAAAGTTAATAAATGCGGGCCTGATAACAGAATGTAGTAATTAACATTTTACGCTTCAAAATACGTAAATGTCCATGCATTTTACAATAATATTGAATTTAATTACCCGTTCAATAAAAATTTATAAGTTATAACCAAAACAACATTCAAATTATAAAATAATTTACATAACGCCCAAAACTATGAATAATAAAAACAAGTCAATTGGCTCGGTATTTGTGTTACGAAAATGGAATTATTATTGTAGCCTTATGCATTTTCTTAGAGATACGGATGAAATTAAAAAGAAGTTGAGCGAAAACGACATAAAAAAAAAAATATCTGATACTGTTGATGGGTGCGCCATTGTTGAAGATGGAAATTTAGAAATTCCCAAACGACCAACTGTGGCGGATTTAAAGGGATTGGGGGTCCGGGGGATTCGGCCCCATCAGGATTTTAATTTCAAAATAGAATTACAATAAAATGTCGTTTAAAAAAGGAGATACATTCGAAATACATACGATTTTCAGGACCCCTCCCAGAAAAATGTAGAAAATCCACCACTGTCGGGAAGGTAGGATGTACGTAGGTACGCGGCGTAAAGTCAATTAATATATATCTGTATTATTAACGATACACGATACTGAGGGACGTTCAGTTAGACATGTTTTAAAATGTCACAAAAATATTTAAAATATCATCAAATTTTGATCGTAAAACGATTATAAAAAAAAAAAAGTACATCGCGCTCGACTTTTTCTTTTTTGCCGCTAAGTAAAACTAATAATGAACCTCGTGTTACATTTCCATGCATTTTTGTTTGTTCAAACAATAAAACAATATTATACTTACCAATAACGCCAACCAAAGAAAAACTGGAAAATGTAAAATGCTTAAACTTAAATAGGTCAAAAATGTTTATATTTTACTATTATAATAAATAAATTGGTTATTTTCTGTGTTTTCAACAAAAGTTCGTTTGTATTTGATTATATTAATAACATTTATATTTCTAACAATACCCCGCAAAACCTCGGGCCGGCACTGCATGGTTTCACTTGTAAAATCCGAATAATAAAAACCGTTCGACAAACTTTTTTTTTATTCCGAGCGTAGAGAGGAGGGAGCTGTTGGTTTCACTAAAATGTTTATTTATTATTTGTTTTCTTTGTTCTTCCTTGTAATCCGTGGACACGTTTTTTTCTAGTAAACTTGTTCCGATTTATACGTGTCGCAACTTTTCTGAAAGCTCAAGTTGTCTAGATGGTACTATATATGTATATCATTTTTTTTGCTTTTCGACGCCTTTTTTAAAATAAAAGCACTTAAGTGGGAAAAAACGTAGAAAAACAAGGACGACGTTTTCTACCAGAAAAAATGATTTAACCGAAAGAAAATCACAAGGCACCATATTTGTTGCCTTTTTGATTTACTTTCTAACGGTATCATTGCCAAAACTTTTGAACTTTTAAGGAATTTTTATATTTGGAAGCTTTTTTTTGCTGTAATTCGGTTATAAATACACGTAGAGACTTGAAACTTGGTAATAATACTTATATTAGACTTTAGTCTAGTATCAACTCTTTTTTTTTTTCTCATCGCTTTCGAAAACAAAAAACAACGTGATAAATAAAAGACGATGTTTTCAAACGCTAAAAGTCGCCGAAATTTAATCAATATTGCTGCCGCACAGACGCGAAATTCGGGGTTATTCGAGACGAGCGTTTCGCGGCACGAACTTTTCGACCGATTTCGGTCGCCCGTCGGTTTTTAATCCGTTCGCGGTGACCGGACGGATATCACGGAGAAATATTATCATCGCTAATAGACGCCGACAGTTTTTATTTAATATTTCTACAGGCGTGTTTTCGTCGTCCAATCATAACATTAATAAATCAGAATTAAAACCTCCGGTATTCCGCTTCGAATTAAAGTCCAATCATACAAGTACACATCACCACATGCGATATTGTTCGGAAACTTATTTCACATAATAATACTCGGAAATTAACAATATAATTTAACCAGCGTATACGTAATACGGAAGAGTGCACGACAAAACGAATAAACTCATGAATCATTGTAATCGTAATTGATTAACGCGAGCAGTGGCGTGCCCGGGAATTCTCAACGGGAAAGAACGCAGCGCATACGAATCGCCAATGAATTGTAAAATCGTCTTCTTTCTACACGACTGGACGTAAAAAAAAAAAGCCAATTTCTAATCAACACAACAATTCCTCGTAACTCGGCCGAAAAATATGCATTTCGGTAATAGATCACTAATATATTTTTTATTTTTATTTTTTAGGCCAATGTGTGGATATACAACCTAACCTCCAATCCCCTGCGAATGCCACTAAATACGAGTGTTTAGTAACTGTAATATTATTATTATTCGACAGACATCGCAATCACCGCGATAGTATTCTCTCGGAATAAACGACAGCTAGGGTTTATTGTAGTTTATAACACTATACGACGACAAACCAACATAATTATGAACTCCTCACTGTGGGATTTTGCTGTCGATTCGTAATCCGGTCTCGGATTTATGAGGTTCGCTCTTCGTGATAATCACCAATTCGTTAAGAAAAAACAAATTCAAAATTATACGGTTAAACATTTTAATAGGAATAAACATACGGTGTTTTTTTGTTTGATTTTTTCCCCTTTAAAATAAATTGATCGTGTTATTAAATAGTTGTGCGACCATTCCGTCAAGTACAGTAATCAGGTTCGGAATCCGCAGGAGCAATAACACTTACATGATTGACTACGTATATAGGTATCGAATTGCAAAAATTAGTTGCAATACAAACATTTGTGGTCCTTACCCCGGTGAGTATTGTATATATATATAGAAAAAAAACAGAAATTGATTATCTTGATTATCTCCGGAGACATTACAATGTGTACCTGTGTAATGTTACAATGTTAATGCTATCAGATCTTGAAGAAGAAAATGAAAAAGAAGTCGAAAGCATTTGATTTTTTAAGTATTTATTAATTAAAATATCATTCGTTATTTTTTTTCCCCATAAATATTATAAATTATAACATAATTAAAATACCGTATATTATGTATTAAATTGTTTAGAATATGTTTTAAGTGCATATTTTTTCGATTTTTATGTGTGCATACATATTTTGAAGTTTTTAAGTACTAAAAGTCCTCAGCCCAGGTAACTATCAATACAAACTGTACGAATTTAAAAAAAAAATAAAATAAAAATATAATTGACGCAAAGCGCACGAGTCGCGCGTTTATACTTTATTACTAATGATCGAATGTTTTTAT